GTGGAGGTGATGCCTGGAAAAATGGTGACCACCATCAAGGCGCCGGCCGGAAAGAAGAAGTGTCGGTTGGTGATTTGTGGAAATAATGCAGAAGGTGGTGGTAAGGAGCAGGAGGAGTCGCTCTATGCGGGTGGTTCAGACGCCATGTCGATACGGACAGCAACGAAATATGCTGCGGAGAGAGAGTGGGCAGGCATGGTGTTGGACATCAAGACTGCTTTCCTCAATGCCCCCCTGCAGTCAGTGATGAAGGAGGGTCAGGGCGCCAAGGTGGTTTTGATGAGGCCGCCAGGGATTTTGGTGCAGCTTGGGCTGTGTCGGCGAGATGAGTTTTGGGCGGTGGAACGAGCTCTATATGGACTCAGAGAATCGCCGAAGCGGTGGGCCAACTTCAGAGATGAGCGGGTCCGTGACATGGAGTGGAAGAAAGAAGGAAGAGTATTCTGGATGGATCAGTCGATTGCGGATCCCAACGTCTGGAAGGTGCTCTCAGAGATGGACACTGGTGAGGCTACGACGCGGAGTTCCTCTACGGCAAGATCGGGAGGAGCAGGGAAAGGCACGCGTCTTGAAGGCGTGGTCGTGGTCTATGTGGACGACATCTTGGCGTATGGAGAAGAAGGGCTGCTCGAGGACTTTGCCCGCGAGATAAGCGCGATGTGGGAGACGAGCCAGCCGGAGAAGATTGAGGAGGGCACCAAAGTTCGCTTTTGCGGAATGGAGATATCAAGAACCGCGAGAGGGTTCTACTTGGGGCAGCAGGCCTACATCCAGGAGGTCCTCAATAGGAACGGTGGCGGTGGTCATGGGTCTGCGTTGCCGATCACCCGCGAGATGACGGAGCTCCCGGAGGAGGAAAACATTCAAGCCGGGGATGTTCAGGCGGCGCAAAGAGCCGTGGGAGAGACCCTCTGGCTTACCACAAAGACGAGGCCAGACCTGATGTATGTTACGAGCAGAATGTCTTCGGCAGTGACCAAAGCGCCGAGGTGGGTGCTGCAGCTGGCGGCCCAGGTGTGGAAATACCTTCAGAAAACGAAGGAGGTTGGTCTGTGGCTGGAAGCAGAGGTAGGCACCGGTGAGTCTGGCCTGGAGGAGAGGAGAATTGAGGTCTTCACGGATGCTTCCTTCTCGCCGGGTGGCGGTCTTAGCCATGGATCGGTGGCGGTGCTGTGGAATGGTGGGGCTATCGCATGGAGAAGTTCAAGGCAGAGTTTTCCTACCATGAGCACGGCGGAGTCCGAGCTTGCGGAGTGTCTGGAGGGCATCGTGATGGGCGAGAGCGTGGAGGCGCTTGTGGCCGAGATTGAGGATGCGGCGGGCAACCACTACGTGAGGCAGCTGCTGACAGACAGCTCTTCGGCGATTGCAATAGCTTCGGAGGGGAGCGGGAGCTGGAGAACAAGGCACTTGAGAGTGAGAGCTTTCAATCTCAGATGGAGGTTGGAAGATCAGAGCTGGAGTATGCATCATGTCCCTGGCATTCGCATGCTGGCCGACATGGGGACGAAGGCACTCAGTGGAAAAAGGATGGAAGAGCTGAGAGCGCTTTGGAAGCTGGAAGGGCTTGAGAAAAAGGAGGCCGAGAACCAGGACCAGCTGGGAGATCAGGGGAGGGACTTCGTCCAGGAGGAG